TAAGCTTACATAGGAAGCACTACAGAAGTGCAAAGTAAAACGGTAAAAGCCAGAACAACCCTTTCCAAGAACACTGCAAAACCTGAAGTTCCTCCATGCTGTCAGATTATTCCTCTTTGTGTTGGAAAATAACCCAGTAACTGGCTCAGTGAGTGGTTTCCATTGGCCTCCCTTTAGTGTTAACTATGCTATACTGTAAGGCTCCATTGAAAGAGTTAAATTACACAGCCTTTAAACAACTTCATACTCATGCATTTAATGCGATTTCGAATAAAAAATAGTTTGGTTGGTTTGTGGTTGAGCTTTTTCCCCTCTGCTTTCCATTTCCTGCAGAATTTCCATGCATTTTGTTGTAAATAATTGGTCTCAGGATTTCATTAGCATTGAAATATATTGAAAGTAGATGTACACTATCTGATGATTATCATAGGAAGCTTTCAGTAGTTTGCTAATTGAAGAAACAATTAACAGAAGAATGATTTGTTCAGTTAATGGGATCTTTTGGCTGACTTACAGATAACCGAAAATTGATTGTTAAGCTAATAAAGGTTTTGAGTATTAATAATACTTTGAAACAAGGAGGAGGCAATGTAGTTTAAATGTCTTTTAACCATTCACTTCTTTTTTCTTCCTTTGTAAGAAGCATCCACATACCAAAGATGAAATTATCAGGCCGAAAGAGCTGACCGAAAGGACCAGATCGCACACTATCCATGGTGCCCGGCTCCAAGTCCACCAAGACTGCTCTTGGCACGAATTTCTGGGCTACAATGAAAAATAAGCATGTCCTTAATGTTCTGGAAAATAGTGAAAGAGTTACAGTGTTTAACACACAGTTACATTGCTTACTATCAGTCTAATGCAGATTGTACATAGATAAATACTTCCTATAGAGGAAATCATAGCGGAAGATGAATCCAAGCATGATATGCACAAAACAATTCCCATCGAACAACAGACTTGATAACTGGATGTCAGTGGAATATTACAATTTTGTAAGCATTTTGAGGATTAGACATAAAGAAGGGAAGTTTGACTGCAAAAAAAAAAAAGTTGAATAATAAAGTAAACAATTTTTGCTGTGTGTAAGGGGTGAGTGGAGGGTTAATACCCAAATCATATAATATCATATAAGTTACATTGGACCCATAAGGATTGCGGGTCCAACTCCTAGCTTCACAAGGGAGGACCCAAAAAACTCAGACCATAAGGATGCTAAAACACATAACTTTTCACGCTTGAAGGACTCACCATCAATGAGAGAGCTATTTGGTGCAGGTGGCAAACAACTGATAAGTGCATCTACCACAAAACACGAGAATCTGTACGTGGTTGAAACTGCTCAAGGAAACTAAGGTAAATAATACCATAGAATCCTAGAATCACCAAGGTTGGAAACGACTGCTAGGATCATCCAGTCCAACCATCCACCTATAACCAGTATTTCCCACTAAACCATATCCCTCAATACAACATTTAAATGCTTCTTGAACACAAATACATTAAGCTAAGCTGGACAGAAGACAAAACAAGTTCTTCTCAACGACCAAAGAACTCACTGTCCCTATTTTACATAGCAATACCTTCCAACACCAGTCTGACTCAAAGGACTTCGGTGCTTTTAGCACCTTATTAATGAATCCCCATTACCCACGCCCCGACTCTTTCAACCCACAGAACAAAACCTGCATACTACAGATACGGGCTCAAAAAATCAGCAGTTCAACGCGAGACGACGGACAAGAGACAGCTGATGCCCTAATCACGCGTTACAAGAGCGAACAGCGATTAACAAACTTCCACGCAGGCTGTGCCCCGTGAGACACTCCCTCCTCTCCGCCTGGAGAGCGGAACGCCAGCTGATGGCGGGAGGAGGGCGGCCAGAAGCGCTTGCAGCTTACAGAACCGCTCTCTCCCACATTCCTGGCTCCGTCCTCACGGAGCCCGTCGCCCAGCACCCTCCCCGCCCCACACTTACAAGATGATTCGTTATAGTAGACATTGATCCTTTCCAGCTGCAGAGCTGAGTCACCGACATAGCCTCCGGCTGGGTCAATGCCATGCTCATCACTTATCACTTCCCAAAACTAGGGCAGGGAAAGAAAAAAAAGAAGAAGAACAAGAGTGTTGGGAACTCCCCCGCCGAGATCCGTGTCCCTGCCCAGCTCCCCAACGGCCACGCAGCGCGGCCCGGCCCGGGGCAGCTGCCGGATTCCAGTCGCTCCCGGCCCCTCCCTGCGGCGCTGCCCGACAGCGCCCGGGGCGGCACAGCTGCGAGGGGCTGCTCGGCTCCCAGTAGCCCCACGCCCGCCGCCCAGCCCTGGCCCGGCCGCTTTGCGAATAGCCGTGAGAAATCCCGTCGGTTTCAACGCTCCCCGACGCCTTTTTCGGACGGCTGAACTTCCCTGTCCGCCCGCAGCCGCCCGGAGCGGCGGGAGGGCTCCCCTGGGCTCACCTTGGTCCCGATCTGGTTGCCGCACTGGCCCGCCTGGATGTGCACGATCTCCCTCATGGCGCTGTCCCGCACCGCACGCCCCGTCCCGCCCGCTGTCCCTCCGCGCAACCCGGCTCTGCCCCGCGCGGGCGGCGCTTTATGGGCTCTGAGGCGGCGCACCCCCCCCCAATCCCCTCCCTCCCCTTTCCCCGCTGCCAGCGCCAACGGCCGCCCCCTCCCGGGACCGCCCCACCCGGCCCTCGGGCGATGGGGGCGCGTTCCGTTACCTCCGGGGAGCGGGGGTGGGTGGCTGAGCAGTGCTCCCGGTCGACACGAGCGGCAGCCCCGCTGTGGGAGCCGGAGTTGGGTTGTGCGTCCTCACCCTGCTTGCTTCATTCACACCGCACGGAGTCATAGAACTCCTTGGATCGGAGGGGACCCCTATATTTCACCTAGTCCAACTGCTCTGCGATGAACAGGGACACCTACAGCTGCACCATGTTGCTCAGAGCCTGAGCATCCGACTGACCGCTGGTTCTGCTGCCCCCGAGGTGGCTCTGATCCACACTTTGCTTCTTACAGCGCGTTTCCTGAAAGCAGGCATGACATCTTTGCCTATCGTGCAACTCCTGCTCGTTCTGTACACAGATGGCAATCAGTCTTCTGATGTTCTTCAGTCTCTTCAGTCTGCTGTCCAATCCCAGGTGGCTGCAGCCTTCACTGCAGCGAGGACATGCCAAGCAATGTGTGGGCCTTCTCACCATGCCAACAGCCATCTTTGCACCTCTGTTCTCCAAGGTGGGTTTGCTAGCAAGCTGCTGCCTGAAAGTTTGTCACTTGGAAGACAAAGGATCATTATGGAACAACAGTCCAGAAAGTTTGTGTTGTCACATTACAGACCATGCCCTGGAATATGCATAGTTTGAATAGCTTGATTTCTAATGAAAAGGAAGACTTTCAGTCCCCTCCAGACAGCAAATAAGTCCCCAGAGCTGCAGTATCTCCTTTAACAGCCCCTTAGATAGCTGCTTCATAGTTTCCTGAGTAGAGCAAAGCTGTCCAGCTTTACACCTTACTTCAATGCCACTGCGACTCCTCAGTGCAGTGCAGCTCGCTGCATAGCCCTTGTAGAAGGCATTCATCTGTCTGAGCACATCTTTACAGTCTGAATGCACCCCTTCTGCTGTGAAAGCCTTGGGTGTACAACCCTTGAGGGCAGAGCTGCAGAACTTCACTGTCCAGCTGAGTTTCTTAGATTATAGAAAGATGTGAGATTAAAGGTAGCCCACGTGGAACTTGGATGATCTTTCCAGTCTGAACACATTTAAGATAAACCCCACAAATCAATATGCGACCCCCAAATAGCCCAAAATCTGTACCAAAACTGGGAGGTCTCTTCCTTCCTACCTGCCTGTACAGTGCTGTGATATGGTTGATAGCTAGACCAAGGACTCTGGGAAGTAACCTTGCCTTTTTGTAACTTTTTTTCAGAAGCTTTTTGCAAATGACCTCTGAGCAGCTCCTGCACACCATGCTTTCTGCCATCAGTGAAGCAGATGGAGGATCAGCGCATTTGCTTTGCAAGCAGTCAGCACCACAGGACTGGATACTATGTGCCTTTTTCTCTGCAGAAGGACTCAAATAAATGTCCTTCTGTCTGTGATCTGCAATTTTGGAAGACATCCACAAGCAAATCATTTGCTCAGCAGCCTGACTACTGAGGTCATCTCGGGCTTTGCTTGAATCTGTATGTCCTTGAATGTATCTTGGAGGTCTGTTTTTCCACACTCTTTGCAGATGTTGTCATATACTATTATGTGATTCACACTTGCCATCAGAGCATTGTGCTTTGTTCGAATTATTTCTTCTGGGATGCCATTTTTAAAAATTCCATCTCTAGATTTTCTCTTTCTACCTATTCCACTAAGTTTGTCAGCTGGGCTTTGCTTGTTACTAATCTCAATCAAGGATAGAGTGATACTTCTGTTAATCAGGCCCAGAAATCAGTTATGAAAATACACCTGTGGAAGACTTGTGTTAATAAGCACTTTCAGCTCCGGACCCATGTGTTAGAGCCAGCACTGGCTTTCTCAGTGGCATGCTATGCCAGCAAGTCTCTCTGGAAGCTGCTTGTTGCCCTACCAGCACCTTATCATAGTCTTGCTAGCAGTTGGCTTGGCTCCCCTGCTCCCTTCAGTAGCAAGCATACAGAATCTATGGTCTCTTCAGTATCTTCAGTCTTATACTTTCTCCAGTATTTAATTCCCTTACCTTGCTCTCCAGCTGTCCTGGCTTGATGTTTACTGATGAACTCTGGCATACAGATTCATACCTGTGTACACTTTGGTCTCTTCAGCTGCTGCTGGCACCACAGAAACAAAGGTCTCTGTGCCTTGTGGCCCTATGTCTAATTGCTTGGACCACCATACAGACACACACACAGAATTGAGGGTCTCCTTATCCAGAAAAAATAATCAATGTAGGACTTAATAAGACTGAGAGGAATCAAGCGCAAGGCAAAGCCTGGCAAGAGTGCTGACCAGCAACCTGTTCACAACCAGCCAGACCATTTTAACCCCTTATCTTTTTATTTTTCCATACTTCTGACTCACAAAACCACCTTTATCTCCCTCATTCCCTGTCTTTGATTTCCTTCTCCACACATACTCCAGTAAGTCATGTGCAATCCCAAAGGTGCTCTCATCCTGTGAGTCCCATACCCCTCTAGGCAGTAAATCACACAGTTCAGTGAGCCTCTCCCACTGACTGATGATGAATGTCACACCATCCACGGACAGGTCACTTTCTGGGAGGCGTTGGACAGAGTCTCCTGTTCCCTGAGTACGTCACTGGAGTTTCCCCACTTCCCATTGTTGCTCTGTTCTCCTCAGTGTTCAGAGAGATAAGTCTTCAATCACATAACCCAAGTGCAGCCTTTAGAATCAAATGATATTTTTAGAATTAAAAATAGTAGGCAGAAAGTGAAAATATATAGGCCAGTAAAGGGGTATAAGAAGAAATGAGAATATTGTAGTAGAGCCTTCAGTCCATGTACCTCCTGAAAAGCTGTAAGTACCATCCAGTGCCTGTCTTTTTCAGAATGTTCCTCTGCTGTCTGAGAGCAGCAGTTGGTCAAATATTGTTCAGAGGCCGAAACTTAAGCCAGTTTCCCACACATACAAAGCAATCAACTGAAATAAGTGCCAGGCTGCAGAACTGTCTGCGTGATGAAGTTGAGCAACAGTTTACCCAAAGAATTTGCATCTCACTTTTACGCATTTTAAAACTATTTAAATAGACAGCCAGACCTGAATCAACCTGCAGCTACTCTGTGTTTTCTTGCTAGTAATCTGAGAAGCAACACCCGTTTGTTGGTCATTGAATGTAAATGTGCCTTTGAATCCTTTTCATCCACGCTTGTGTTTGCTTAGCAGTTCAGCTGACTTAGAAGTTGGATGTGCCATTGCAATGAGAATCCACAAAAGCCTACACATTCTCTGTAAGTCTCCATAGTCTTTGTCCTATGACATCTGCATAGGTACTTAGGTGTTTCAAAATCTTACTGTGAACTTAACTGCTGTACTTATAGATGCATTTTAAAATCCGAGTAAACGCTTCTCAGAAGTTTAAGGCACCTAAACATCTTTAAAGATGTCTCTCTATGTGCTTCATCTGACTGAGTCAATGAGATTCATTCTATAAAGAGAGGAACATAGGAATGCACTGTAATAGAGATGGAGACCTGCAAGACAATTAATGTGGATGTGGCACCTAGGGGTATGGTTTAATGGTGGACTTGATAGTGTTATGTTAATGGCTGGACTTGCTGACCTTAAGGGAGCCTAACAGAGTCAATAAATTATATGATCCCAATATCACAAGAAGGATAAAATATGTAAATCACCTGTGTTACAGAGAAGAAGGATTTTCCAGCAAGAGCAAACCAGGCAGCAGTCATCTCCTACCAGGTCACAAGGAAATGCATTTTGATGTCCTGAGAAAAAAAAGAAAAAAACCAGCAAAGTTCTTCTGTATTTAGCTGGTCATATGATATGATTGTTAGGCTGCTTCCTGCTTTTCAGGAAACATGTTCATGTTTGTATGAGGGTTGTTGCTAGGGCTAATTTTATTTACTGGAGGAGTTTTGAGAAGCTAGAGTAAAATTCATGTTGTAGCAGAACAGTTAACATGTTAGTTACTGTTTCCTTTTTTCAGAATGATCGTGTGCTGTATTTTGATATGTAAGGATATCAACAAGGATTGTAAGGCATTATAAATCTTGACCACAACAGTAAACAAAATGCAAAGAGAAGATCCATTCTGACAGCTTTTGGTAGGCTGGTAAATGCTACTTATCTCCCGGTCACCTAGAACAGGAAAGTCCCAGGGTGAGTGTAGTTTCTCTTCAGTTTTCATGTAAGTTAAATGTATGTGTATCTTAAAATGGTTTGCCTCCTTTTTTTCTTTTTCTTTTTTTTTTTTTTCTTTTCTTTTTTTTTTTTTTTTTGCCTAGCTTCCTGAGGAAACAAAAAATGGGAAGTCGCGCTCTGTTGCAAGTGTGTGTCCATGTATCTCCATGACCGCCTTTTCAATCTGCCAGCATATTGTGACAAAATCTGACAGAGGCACATGAGTCCCAGAGATAGAGCAGCTGCAGAAGAATGCAGAAACAGCCCTGGGACTAGACAGTGTGATCTTTCAAAACGGGAAGGGAAACAACAATACACACGGAAGCACGCAGTCAAATAAGGCTAAAGTCAGCATACACACTTATAATAGGTATTTTGGAGTTTTTGTTATTTCTATTTTGCCTGGAGAAGCCACTGTATTTCATATAACCCTCAAACAGTTTGCTGTTTTGTTCCTAGATTAAGCTGATTGCTGTGCAAGCTGTAGCGTCACTGATTGCCACCGATGCTCAAACACAGCACTTTGGGCTTTGTTTTAATGCTGCTCTCCGGTGTGCTTAATAACTGTAGTTGCCAGTGGAGGTACCAGTTTTTTTGTGCCCTCAGCATGTGGTCTGAATCTAGCAATGTTAAAGCAAAGGTTGCTGCATCAGGACAAGGTTGAATATGTTTATGGAAGAAATGTCTCTAAGTGCTTGAAGGAGCACAAGAGGAATTCCACCATCTGTCAGAGAAGTGTTTCTAGCTGCCTTTTCACACGCTTTTCTCAGTTTGACAAGCCAAATGGAAAAAACCTGAAAGTCCAGCCATGAATATTAAAGTGGCTGAGTTAGTCGCCTTTGCGTTTTCCTGCACTGGGAGCCTTACTGTCTTTTCATCTGTAACACATTTTTTGTCCTTTGTAAATGAATATTTTCTGTCAGCCTTCTGTTTCTGCCTGTGTGTAGCCTCAGTGCTAACAGCAACTCACCCATGACTTTTCTCAGGGTCAGGTGTAGTGATTTTTATGCAACAGCTGTAGCAGCTGTAGGAGAGAAAGGCATGTACCTGCCTGTTATGTCAGGCAGAATGTGTGTTTGGTGTGGCTGTGTTTTTAATTTCCACTGTAATAGGTCTCTTAGCTACATAAACAAATAGATCCAGAGAATAGGCTACAATCTGCGTTCAACAAGTCAGGAAAATATCTAGATTAATGCTTTCCTACAGCTACAGCCAAAAGAGTATGGCAATAAAAAGTCAAGTCAGAAATGTTTCTACATTCAACCCCATACATCAGAGATTTTGGGGAACTGTTTGAAGAACAGAATGAAGACAAATTTTAGCTGCAATGTGTTCTCTGTAATTTGTTATTGAGTGTATAGCTATAAGAGGATGATGAATCTGAGATATTGCAGGCTTGCCTATGGAGTTTAGTCATTAAGCTAAGCATTATCAGGTGTAAAAACACGTTCTCACCATGAGTACAGTGACAGCAGCTTATCTAGATAACAAGAAGGCAGCCATGACAGTAGTCAGTGACAGGTACTACAGAAAGAATATGATAATGCTTCTCCCAAAAAGCCTTTTTACTTTGGCAGTCAGTGGTTAAGGGTTTATTGAACCAAAGGCTGGATCCAGTCCCTTACATTCAGTAATCCTTTTGAAGCATGCCTTACATCATGCGTTTCCATTTTTAGGCCAGCTACGCTTTCAGCCTCCAAAGTCTCCTTGTGGGCTTTACCTACAACTGCATGCTGACCTGTGAAGAAGTTCTCTCTGTTAGAAAGCTGGTGTTTTAATTTGATGCCCCGCAATTCTTCTGTTCTGAGAAGCAGGAATTAATTTCCTAATGACTATCACAGCTTTGTGTAAGGTGAAAGTTTTAGTATAACTTTTTTTTTGTTCTTTCTTTCCCTATGATCAGTATTAGTCTAATTAATTTCCCTATGAAGGGCACATCACCCCTGTGAAACTCCTTGGTTATCACCTCTCTCCGTGCACTATCTCTATGGTAGCTTCTGTGAAATGAGGAGTGACAGAATTCAAAACATGGCCTTTAATTTGTGCAGTGGTGTTTGATGCTTTCTGCTCTGGTTTTCACTTTCTAATAAATCACTGCATTCTATTTGCCTTCTTCAATGCTGCTGATCTTTGAGCTGATTTTTCTCATTGAACTGCCCACAGTACCCCCCAGATGTATTTTGAGACACACGCAGAGTGGATTTACCTTGTGTTACACAGTTATGGATTAAAATTTCAACAGGTGTTGTTTCATTCAAATGACTATTATGAAATAATTCTGAAATTCATTCCAACTGACTGCAGTTTTGACTTCCCTGAAGACTTTTATGCAGTTAAAAAGCTTCACTAGTTCATTACTTTTTTTAAGCTTTAGCATTAGCATTATACATTTTGCCTTTAGCATTCTGCCAGCCAGATCCAAGCACAACCAATGCATCTATCCTAGGCTTTGTCTCTTCCCTATCATTAAAGCAGAAGAGCACTTGCATGGAATCATATCCCACTCCATCAGCCTCCTTAAGACACTTGAGTAAAACACCTTGCAACGCTTGACAGCAGAGATCTGCACTGCAGTGTGTGGGGGGTGGAAGGATAGGTGTAGGTTCTGTTACACCGAATAACTTACAGTTTTATCCTCTGAGAAAATAATAATAACAATAGACCACTAAGAAAAGTGGTTGGAGTCCTGCCTAGACTGTCAGTTATTTAGGAGTTGCTAAATATTTGAGATGAAATGGATAACCTTTTAAGTAAAAGTGATTCATCTCAGTGTGAGAAACACTTATTTTCTAACAGTAATTTTGCAGCTAAAATCAATTATAAACTGCTATAGCCAGGTCCTGGGTTTCACAGGTGAGTCAGTTTTCTTCCTTGCCCTTTTCCTTGGTTGTGAGTGGCTCCTGGCTGCCACCCTCCACTGCTATCATTGATCCTATTCATCTGCCACACATGTCCAAACCAAACCAGCATACCACTTCTGGACTGCTTGACAAATGATTCTCTCAGATTACAAATGCAAGGAGAAGATCACCGTTCCTCCCAGCTCCATCAGCCGGTAACAAAGAGCACGGCAGAACTACAGCTCGACAATGCCTGGCTTATTTTTAACAAGACAATCTGTAACACTCAGGGGCAGATGGGTACTGCCACTGGAGGAATGCGATCTGACACTGACAGCACAACAGCAGCTGAAGAGCTCCCTTCTGAGCAGAATACTGTGAGGTCAGGAACCAGATGGGGAAGACAGCATTTACTCACAGAGAAAGGATCGTTTTTCTTTTAGAAAATCGTTCTGCAGCATTAAGGCTGAGAGTGCGTGCCTCAGACTGCAACCTAACAGCAGCATTACCAAAATCATGATTTAAAAGCTCATGCATGCTAAGAATGCAAGAGGTCAGTTTGGCTCGTGGCCTGGACTCAACCCACTGCCCACCCACGATGAATAATCCATTTCACAGTGTTTGTTGAACAGTGTACCAGAATACAGGAGGATATGGGAGTACAGTGTATGTTGGCAGCACAATAGAATGCCATTGCTTTGCTGGAAGGATACAGAGACATGGCTGTTGCCTGTGCCCAGAAAATTTGCACAGATATTCATCTCTATGATGTAAAATCATTTCATGGTAGCACCACATCTCCATACTGAATAGGAACGTTATATTTCAAGGTAACCCATAGGATCTGTCAGGAATAGAGAACAGCTCTAAGTAGTCAAAAACTTTTTATTTCAGGACAGCAGCTTGATCAGTATGGAAGACACAGAAATTGCTACAGAAACAAGAAGGCTGGCAATTTCTGCCTATAGACCTAATATGATCTACAGATAGAGCGCAACAGATACGTTTACGCTTAAAAACAAGCATGTCATGCTCCTCCCTTTTTCCTCAGTCAGTACTTTTTCTTGGAATGTGGCCTAAGGGAATCTAGGAAAGTTGATAAAAGGCCACAAGAAGAATAGCGTTAACAGAGCAGCAGAACAAGTTTCACGTGTTAATAGGAGAAAGGCACAGTGAAATAGCAAAAAGTATTGAGTGCTTGAAACTGGTGATGTCTAGATAATGGCATCAGGAGTAGAGGAAGATTTTGGTAAAGGAAAACTAGAGCAGTTTGAAAAGCGTTGGGAGCTTCCGAGTGAAAAGCAGAGGTTCTCTATCAGAATTTGGAATTTTGAGGCACCATGGAAACAGAAGTGACTTTTATCCACTAGGCTGCTACTGCCTTTAGTCACTGCTGATGCAGCTAGAGACAAGAACTGCTTTGTTTTCACTGACCACAACTCTTGTGAAAACTAAACATGGTACCATGTCAGCAGCAGATAAGAATAGGAGGTATTGAGAAAGCTGCTTACTGAATTCCATGGCCACACAGGTGAAACTCTATCAGAGAATATATGATTTTATCTAAATGAAATTCTACTTTAATGCGGTTTGCACACTGTGCTTATCATGGCAGGTAAAGACAGCTTGATTATCCTATCCAAACATGAAATGGTTTTCTCTATAGGGAAACTGGAATACTTAGCTATTTGCAGTAATTATTTAGTAATTTCTGATTTCAGACAAAATGGGCTTATCAAGTAATCATCTCAGAAAATGCAAGAGTTGTTCTGGAATATACTGACTTTTATTGGGAAAGCATGTTCACACAGGCAGTCAAGTGCAGATTAGAACAATATTCTACAACTGCTCCAAGTTTTCCTGGCAAACTCCTTATGTAGGCAAGAAGGTCTGAAAGCTGCAACTGGCAGAACATAAGTTAAGGTCCTTTGGTACAGGAGTCATTAAAACAATGCATTCTGCATTTTATATTTTCAGGAGAAAAATAGAGAACACTTTTGCAGATCTCAGTTTGTCTAGTTCAATAATAAATCCGCAGTTCTTCTTACACTTAAATAAAATTGCTTTCTTTCCTCTTCTTTCCCGACTTTTGAGAATTGGAAAGAACATTAGAAAGCATTATTTTATGAAGAGTAGCAGCAGAACAGTCAAGTGCCTATGCAAGGGAAGATGCTTTGTAATTAGAAATGCTTTAAACATGAAATTACTATAGATTTCACTGTCTAATTACAAAATGTGTCAGAAATAATTATACCTAAGTGGACTTTCAAGGACTTTTCAGATGTCTGAGGTTTCTCTGTTTCTATAATAGATAAACTATGCATGCCATTAAGCTAATGCTTTCTTAAATATTGTTGTTGTCTAAGGAGCTAGGACTTTTTTTGGTTTCTTTTAAACACACAACAGACTCACAACCAACCTGTAGTGCTGGCAGCAATTCTATTACTTTAAAAAAGAGGCATACCTCTTTTTTACCTCTAACTGTAACGTACAATGACTAATTATATAACAGACTTCTTGGAAAACTGATGATCAATCAACTTCTTATATTGGAAGTGCATGGAACACATTATCCTGATCCCATAGTTAATGTATCAAAACATACTATTTTTCTATTTCATTACGTTTTATAAAATAACAGTATTGTTTCAATGTTCCTCTTTAAAATGGTAATTAATGTTTATAAAAAATTATTCCTAATCACTGGAACCTAGTATCAAAGAACCACAGAATGGCTGGGGTTGGAAGGGACTGCAAAGCCCACTCAGTCCCACCCTGTGCCATGGGCAGGGCTGCCCCCCACCAGCTCAGCTGCCCATGGCCCCATCCAACCAACAATTCACATTGATGGGTGACCTTAGATTGAGGTCAGTATATATTTTGTATCTCATTATTGGAAGTATTAACCCTGTTGTTTATATAAATGCAGTTAGGCTCTGCAAACACAGCTGTAAAGAAAAAAATGGAAAACATGCTGAAAGATTTGCTTCCAAAGTTACTGACCATCATCTATTGCAGAGACAACTTAGTTTTGGCTTACTGTTACTGCTGTTGTTTTGTCTTGTGGTAAATTAACATTGACTGGCTGCCAGGTGCTCAGCCAGCTGATCTCTTACTTCTCCTTCTCAGCAAGACTGGTGGGAGAAAAGAAGTTGAAAAAGCGTAAGGCCTGAGATAAAGATAGGGAGACTGTTTACCAACACAGACTTGACTTGGGGAAGATTAATTTAGTTTCTTACCAACTAAAACAAAATTGCTCTCCTTCCCAGCACACCTTCATTCCATGCTCAATTTCATGATTCCTCTACCTCCTCCTCCTGCCTGAGTAGCAGTGCAGGACCATGAGGAGCAGGAGTTGTGGTTAGTACCTAACACTTTGCCTCTGCTGCTCCCTTCTTCTCTCACTTTTCCATGTCAGCATGTGGTCCTTTACATGGGATACAGCCCTTCAAGAACTGCTCCAGTGCTGGTCCTGTCCGTAAGGTGCAGTCCCTCAGAGGGAGACTGTTCCAGCATGGCTTCCCCATGGGCTGCGGTTCCTACACTCTGATCCTGCCTGGGCTCTCCACAGGCTCACAGAAATCACACTACAGTTGGAGTTGGAAGGGCCCCTAGTCCAACTCCTTCTCAGAGCCCCCCAGAGCAAAGTGACCAGGCCCACATCCAGGTTGGTTTTGAAGATGTCCAGTGAGGAGACCCTGCAGCCTTTCCAGGCAACCAGTGTCAGGGCTCGGTCATTCTTACAGCTTCCTTCAGACCACATCCACCTGCTCCACCATGGGCTTCTCCACAGGCACTGGGATCTTCAGCACAGTATCAATTGGCTGCAGGGAGAGAGCCTGCTTTACTATGATCTTCTACAGAGCAAAGAGGTTGCAGAGAATTCCTGCTCCAGTGCCTGGAACACCTCCTTCCTCTCCTTTTTCAGTGACCTTAGTGTCTGTCCAGCTGTTCATCTCATGGTTTTTCATCATTCCTCCCTCTCACAGCTGGTGCAGTGTGCCTTTTGGTCTTTCCTTAGGTACATTTCCAGAACTAGCACTGCTGACTGGCTCAATTTGGAACACCGGCAGGACTATTTTAAAGCATCTGAGACCAGCTTTGTTGAGCCCCTAATCTCTCCACTTTGAGACCACTCTGCTACCAAAGCCTTGCTGTATTGGGTTTATTTTATACTCTCCTAAATTAATAAGTCAGATTCCAGTTCTCTCCCAAGAAGGAAAAACTGTTCAGTGGTCAAGCTCTGTGAAACTGTCACTTAAGCTGAGCACAGGATGTACGCACTGGGCAGAAGCATCCTAGATTCACACCACACTAACATGCTATTGCTCCTTATGCACAAGTTAATTTTGGATTAGACAAATCTAATATTTCACAAAATTAAATGAATATCTTTATGCAGTCAAAATGGGTACCATTGTAGCTGCAGGTAAATAACTGCAGAGAGTCTTTCCTTAGGTCATTTCCGTGAGCCTTTTATTTAGTGGCAACTCCTACCAGCTGTTTCCTAATCCCCTCCCTCTCCCGTACTGTATAGTGTGCAATCTTCTGCAACTTTGGTAAAAGACGGAGGAGGGCATTCCTTCTGTGTGAAAGGAAACATTCTGCATGGTTTCTCTGAGGCCAGAAAGTGAGTCAGCAGTAGAGAAGTTCAGAGCCACATAACAGCATCCAGTTACTTCACTACTGCGTCCAGCATTTGGGAATATTCTGCAGCAGACCATGGATCCATTAACAATCATGATCATTTCTGGAATAAATTATTCTGGAAATCAATAGAGACAACATCCAAAGCCACAATTTAACTTTATTCATGGACATTTATGCATTTCCTCAAAATCGGCACCACATATCAGAAAATATTGCCATCACTCACATCATTCTCACCCATCTCAGTTTCCATAGCAAGTTAAACTACCGTGTTCTAGTTTTGAAATGGTAAAATATTATCTTTTCCTTTAGCAAAACATCAATTCTCATGTTCATAAATATTTTATGGCAAAGTATAGAAAGTAGCGATAATAGTGATAAATGTTAAACCCCACAAGGATTATTACTATAACTGAAGTACACTGTTAATTATGTTAATACCTCCAGTAATGAAGCATTAAGTTCAAACTCCTTTGTGCTTTGACTTTAAACTTTAATTAAAGAAGTTTGTGCCTTTAGTTCAAGTTCTACCTCTCTAAGAAGTATGCTGAAATGATTCAGAGTTATAATTCTAGTCCATTACAAACAATCATATGTTCACATTTAGAATTACCAACATTTCCTAAATAGTTAATGCCTACCTCCCTACTGTGCTGAAAAAGCTTCCAGCCCAAAGTCCTGTTTTCCTTTCTTTAACCCCTCCCTTCCCTACAGATAAGGGTTTGGGGTATTTCCTACAGCATATTCCTAATGCTCTAAGGAATTTAGACCCTGCCTTATCCCCTCCCCCAGGCAGAAGAATCTGTACTCCTATTTCTCTTGAAAGAATAGGAAAGTGCAAGAAAGCAACGACTCTGAGTTTGTGAAAGGAAGGAAATTAAGTAGTAAGTTATACACACACAGAAAAGCTATTAGATCCTTCATCCTAGTCATGAAAAGAGCAGCTTTGTTTTGCCTGCAGAGCATGAGCAGTGCCTGAGTCAACAAGATCCAGTACTTCAGTGAAAATTCCTTTTTTGGTAACTACAGAGTATGACTTGGTGCATTGTTAGTAAGTGATGCAAAGCAACAGGGAAAGAGGGTCAGGGCGAGCAAGGAGGGAAAAAACATGTTTCATGCTTTTGAAATTTTAGTGTTACCAGCTTTGCCTGCAACAGTAACAAGTGCAGATTAACAGGGCTCTGGGAAAGAAAAAAAATAATAAATAAAAACACCAAGTAGAAAAGCTAGAGAAGTGTTTTTCCCTGCTGTGTACCACATACAGCTCAAGTAAAAGCTACACATCTTAATCAAGCTGTTTAAAAGAAAAAACAAAACCAACAACCCTCAAACTGGCTCCAACTCAGGAAAACAAACTCCTCTAGGTTTGACCAGAAGCCAAAACTTTATCTCTGGAGAACAGTTGTTACAGCAGCAAATATCTTCTAAATACTAAACCTGTGGCAAAATCCAGATTCAGAAACAATGGAGTAATTCCACAAACTCCAAACTTTCCAAGACACTTCTCCCACCCTGAGAAAATATCAGTCAAGCTACTTTCTTCAGCTGTTTGCATTTGAACCACAGTGGAGATTGCAGCTCACATGACCTTCAGCAACTCAAGCATTAAGTGTTAGCCTGCCAGAGAAACAGCTGCTTAAAAACATTGCAAATTCATGTTGAGTTAGCCTTTTAGTCCTACAGTAACACCATTGCAAACTACGGAGTGTTAGCTTTGTGATAACTGCCTCTGGCTTTAGGAGGACAGAATTTGAGATCGACATGGTTCAGACTTGCAAAAGCCTCCAAATTGTAGAAAGTTTAAGAAGCAGATGAATGCAATATTGAACTATGCAAGTATATTGTTTGCTTTTTTCCTACATTGATGCTTCCACCATTAGCAATGTATATATTCCTAGAAAGTTTTCTACATGTAATGTTTGAGGTGGGCTCGTTTAAATGCAATAAATGGTCCTTAAAAGCTGAAAGAGTCCCTGCACTACATCAGCTAAGCGCAGTTTCTTGATAGGGGGTAGAAAAACTCCAACATTTACCACAGTAACAATCATGGTAGGAGTGGGGGAAAGAACAATATAGATAAAGTCTTCATTTTAACATAATCTCTCTCGCATCACCTGCTGAGTAGTCTGTTTTCTCCTGAAGGAAACCTAACAGTGTTGCAAGGTGCACACATTCTTCCATGGGAAAAAATGAGTAAAATAAACCAGTCCACCTCTTGCCTGGAGCTGCATGCCTCACCACCCCTCTTTCCTCCAGCAAATATTCAGAAGCGCATGGGAAACAACAAATCGGGGGAAAAAAAAGCCACAAAGTTTCTTCCTTAGCTGTCTACTCATTTGTAAACCATTACTGAAGAGACAGGTAGAGACTTAGCAGACTTACGTCTACTAGTCCTTAAGATCGATTTTAGGCTGCTTTTCACACAACACTGATTTGAAGGATGCAGCTCCAGCTGGCTAAAAATCAGATCCATAAAAGGCAGGCAAAAAAAAGCATATGAAAGTGAACCTGGCAGATAAATGTGAGCAATACTCCCACATACTAGTAACATTTGAAGGAAAGAGATCCAGCTTACAGATAAAATGGATCCCACCAAACATGATGCTCGGTCATCTCAATCCATTTGTTCTTCTTTTAGCACATCAGGTTTTCCTCCAACTAATCAGTGCAGTTGATGTATGTGGTTAAAGGACTTTTGTCTCTGCAGAAGCAAGGCAAGCACCCTGGAGCTTATGTCAGTCCTTCCACTCCTACTTTTTTTCTTCCCTGTCACCACAGTTTCTCTTCCTGAGTGGCACTTGCAATCAGGATATTTACCTTGCCATTTATCTCCTTAATGGCTTTCAGTCTTAATAATGTAACTTATTAAAATTCATCATAAGAAAGCAAATAAAAACCTCAGAAGCCACAACTATGAACAACAGGAGTTGAACATTCCCCCTTCAACAACAGTGTCTGTATTTTGTCACAACTGCCTACCACTACTTGTTTTCCCATTTGCCTTCACAGTCAAGGAGATCCTTTCCAAAAACCAGTCTGTTCACTAAACTGTATAAAGCTTTTCAGATAATTATATCCGAAGGTTAAAAACTTTTTCCTTTAATATAGTTTGTATTAGAGACTAAGACTGCAAATACCCAGTTTTGAGTATATGTTACACAGTAGGTAAGGTTCTGCTGTTCCCCCCCAACGCAGGGGCATCAAAATCCAACATTTCAAGTGCAGCTTGGAATGTAGTGTTATCTATATGCATAGCTGAAGAGCAAAAATTACAGAATTGAAGGTTTAACCCCTGAAGGAATCTTCAAAAGGTTTTCGGTAAGCCATATGGATGGATCTATGACAAGTTATTCAATGCATTAGGGCAGAGTGGAACATCACACATAGTAAAAAAAAAAAAAAAAAAAAAAAAAAATGCTTTTCAACTGGTAAAAACTATATTAGCCAGAACTTCCTATAGACTTGAAGAACAACACAAGTAGTTATACAGAACATTTACTTGTTTTAAGGGAAATAAGGCTAAATTTTAAGCTTCTGCATAGTAATTGTGCTTTGTTGAATGAGACTTCATGACAGTATTGTCACTGAACCAGTTGTATTGTATATTCCCATTACTTGAAAATGAAAATAAGTACACTTCAGCTTTATGTACCCAGTGCCAGCTGGACTCTAACACCAGCAGTGTTAAGGATAAAACAAAAAAAAAGAAAAAAAGAAAAGGACAGCCCTGTCTGTTCAAAAGGCAAGTAGACAGCCACAAAGAAAACAAACCGTGTTTTGATCAGCACAAGGAAACGATCCACAAAGCACACATTTCCAAATAATCTTATTTTCCACCGAGTTGCTGGGGTAAAAATCTGCCCCTCTCTTCTTTTTTTGCCCAGTCATTAGGCACCCATCCTTTTGCTGTGTTAAGAGCCCACGAACACCAAACACTTATTTTACAACTAAGGCCTATAAGCATTCCCAAACGGGGAAAAAAAAAATAAATGTTAGTTCACCTTAGTGGATATCTCCCTACTAAAACATCATTACATTCAAATTTGGGCAAGAGACCATCCTTAAACAAAAGGATCCAATATCAGAAGTGCTGCTGTGGTCTCTACTTGTGCTGTGCTCTTGTACAAGTGGCATCTTCATCATATTCACCCATCAAATGCAACATGTATGTTCCAGTATAGAGGAGAAACTGTCCAGTTATTTGTGCCATGTGGGATATCATCTGAAGCACCTTCCTACAAGAAAAGCCATTTGTTAATTAAAAAAAAAAGTCAACAGGGAAACACAGTCCAAACCTCTCCCATCCCCCGCACCTTAAGGATGAATTAGACACATTTAAGAATTCTCTTATTCCTCTTCAATTCTGAGAAGTCCATACATTCCACGGGCACTGACTGACAGAAAATTATTGATGTGTTGTAGACTTGGGCAGAACCAGAAAATACATTTAACAAATCAGTCTGTCATCCTGTTAAGCCATCTGGAAAACCATCACTCAAACTATCAGAGCACCACAGAAGATTTAACTATGCCTGAAAGCCCAGCAGCATTCCTGCAGCACGTATGAATGCTTACCTTCAGGCCAGGAAGTAAGAACACTGCGTGCACCCCAAAGCTACAGATCAGACTTTATTAGCACTGAAGCTGAGCAATTGCATTACACTGAGTGCACAACAGCAAAACAAGTGAAGCCAGCCAAGTTTACGCTGTCCAAACTGCAAATATTAAGAATTCTGTTCACAGCTGTGTCAGTTTTAACACGAAGAATCAGCACGCAGATGTATCACAAGGTGGAATCTGTACAGATCCATAAATTGAGACCAGGCAAGTATCAGAAGTTTACAATACAGACTATGGATCCCCACAGGATATCTAAGGAATGGAGATAATCATATCTGAGTGTTCATTTATTCAATTTCATTGTACCTGTTTTTACCTTCCAGTCTCCACGAAACAATGGGGACAGTGCTGAGAAAGATATTTAAGCCTTGAAAGTAGGCCCTCAAACACGTGAGGCTGAAGCACTGGGGAAATGGCATACAAAAATCAGAACTATATCAAAATTGGAAGGGGATCAGTTTCTGAAGGTGCTAAAATGAAACTAGTGTCTCCTAGATTCCCCTTTTAGGGGATCTAGGGTGGAAGATTTTCTGAATTCCTATGTAAACAAGCAAGGGGGTTCACAATTGCAGTTTACTTCTCTTTTGGGCTCTAGCAGAGAACATAAAAGTTATCTTATAAATTCAGGGTTGTTTGTTTTTTTCCCCTCAGTGTGCTAAAAGGTTTACAGTCCAAATCTAATGCTTCAAAACTGTCAATGACTCTGTGTACACAGAGTCTAGGAATCCTTTAAAGCACAGCATACCCTTTCCTATGCTTCCCACAGATATGCCATATTGATATGTCCTTCCCTTCACAAGACAGTGCATGCCAAAGGGCCACACAGTCACAAAGAAAGCTGCACCTGGTGCCAAGCTTTGAGCAGCTGCAGCGTGTCACTTGTACTTGAGACCAGTTGTCACTTAAGCCATGGAGGAAGTTATTTGTTGAACTGGACATTTGATCCTTTAGTTGGACAAGACAAGAGAAACTCTTAAGGGAAATGGACTAAATGGATCTGGCAGGTTTTGAGCCTCTCCCACCAATGAATAACTGCAGTATTTTAAAGTTGTTTCTCCTCACACTCCACAGGTGGGCTCAGAGTGCAGAGTTAGCTATTTAGAACTCTTTAGCAGAGAATACACCAAGAATTGAACACCATGCGTCCCCCATTTAAATGGCAAGTTGAGAGAGACTGCCTCACTGTAATATTTGAGAGCACCCCAGGTTCTTTCCTCCCCCTGCTCTTTGCTAGCGGACTGTTTTCCCACTGTCACACTGGCACTTCCCCTTCCACTCTTTGTAACATAACAGTGTTCTAGAAGAATTTCAGAGCTATTTCAGCTGTTTGCCAGCACTGTTTCTTTCTCACCAGCTGCACTGCATTGGAAGCAAGGCAGAACTATCACTTAAAATTCTCTTTGACAGTGCAAGTTCTAGTGCTGACACTCATCTCCATAACAGCCAGAAATCAGGAGTTTGTTCTGGCTCAAGAGGCTGACAAACACAGGAACTGCAGGAGTGCAGCTGTTTGAAGGTAGGTGTTTGCTTTAAAGAGACTAGTAAGACAGTACTGTACACGAGTGTAGTGTACAGCTGCACAGTTACTGCTGTAATCTCATCTACAGTTACACAGGACTATAGCCTGAACGAAGCAAGGATTGCCTAGGCAGAGTGACAGAGGTCTGAGGCATGGAACGAGATCAGCATTACAGTGCTTAATATCTGCATCAATGAGTCTAGAGACTATTTGAAGACTTCATAGTAAAGATACGTTGTTTAGGTCAAGTAAAAACTTTGCTTACAGGTATGTAATCTACTCTGTACAGAGTAGATCTGGTCCTCGAGTAAGAGAATGCAGTAATTACAGTCTTGCATCTCAATCAGATTGGAATGAGTCAAGTAGGGAAATTAAGGGCTGCTGCTTTAACAGCTGTCAAAAATCAAAGTACAGTGTCTCTGCTCTGTGAAGGAGTCTAAACTCAAGAAGTTTTCTTCATTTGGGGCAGCTGGTTTTGACATGGCACTGACTTTCACAGTTGAAAGCAGTAGGCAGGACAAGGTGCTGTCATTCTGCACTTGCATGAGATGGTGTTTCCAAACAGCCTGTTTTACCAAACCTACAATTCACTACAGCTCGGTCCTGTAGAAGTCAGTGGTCCTTGCTAAGCTTCTTAGAGGTGAATTTGGCAGCCAGATTTAAGACCTCTGCCAGCAGATCTCCAATTCCTCCCTTATTTAATCTCATTGATGTTCCCCACCAGTGAGCTTTCTTCAGCACACTGTATTCCTTAAACAAGCCAAAGGAATCTGGGGAAATCCTCTAAGGAAAAGAGCATAGCTACACAGGACAGCTACTGAAGGAAGACTGGTTGGATGTAAGAATTAATAAAAAAATACAAAGTCTATAAATATACTGGCTTCATAGAACTGATAAGCAAACAGATGTTACATTAATGCCTATGCCTGATCAGTGATGGAAGCATACTTACCGCAATATACTTTTCGCCCCCATACACTTGATGTCATAGGACACTGAGTAGATCTCATAGAAGGTTGCCTTCACATTTAAGCAGCCAATAAAATCCTTAGGGTTCAGCTTGTAGAGATCAAACGTGATGTTAGCTACTCCCATTTTCTTCTTTTGTCTTGCAGGGACAATTCCATTTCTTGTCTAATATGAAGAAGGAGACAGATCATACCATACACCAAGGAACTATAGAAAGACAGTTGTTAATGGTGCAGTTCTTTGGAGGCAGCTCACTCACTGCAGTCTTTGGAGTTAGTCTAAACAATCAGGACACTAAATTAACAGGATGTTAGGTCTTTTCATTTAGGACAAAACACAGTACTGATCAGCAACCTTGGAGATGCTACAAAGAGTACATGTTTCTCAGGTAAAGTAAAAACTTTGCTTCTTGCAAAAACTGTCAAGTTCTCATTTCAAATCCTGGCTCAAAACACTTTTCCTTCTTGCTAAAGAATGACAGTAAGAGGGGATCACTACAGATTAGGCCTAGGTTTTAATACTGAATTTATGAGGAAAAAGGAGTATGAAAAGTCATTTTCAACTTGAAATTGACCTTCTTGCAGTCCTTTTTCAAGATTGGGCCATTTGCTTCAATAAGAAAAATAGTCAGCAAGACCCATATTTATAGAGACATCTAGTGGATACATGGGTTACTCTGCTCAGCACATTTGATTCAAGGTTCATATCCTAGCAGCTGCCAATCTGCCTTATGATTGCCATATGAAGCAATAAGGTTGTGCAAGACTGGAGCTTTTTATACCTGTCACCCCAGCGCTCAAATAGCACCATGATAAGTTAGTCCAAGTTAAACACTACGGTACATCATTAGCCAGCAATTTTATGCCTGATTTACTTTTGATAGGCTCTGAGCTCCCAACTCCAGCAACTGGAACCCCATCAACAAAAGTTTTGTACACACAGTTGATAGCATATGTTCATCTCCCATTAGCAAACAACATCTGGATAAAGCATGACAGAGTTGGTGCTACCCTCCAAATGACACCTGAAGAGAGGCAGCACTTACACTTGTCCTGCTGCCATGCCAAGCAGGACATAAGGCAAAAGAGCAGTGTGGAGTCACATCCTGGTTACAATCCCTTTTTTGGACCCTTGGTGCTCAAGACCAAATGTGCAGGTTGATAATTCAGTGAGACACCTTAGGGAAGCTGCCCACACAACCTGCCCACACTGCAAAAGCCCAAACAGTGGGGCCACACGATTGAGCTATGCATGTACAAACAAATAGCAGGCCTGCCTATAATTGACTTAGCTCTGCACCTGGTAGAAGAAATTTTGATACTAGCTTTCTAGTAACAACTATTTCACTGAAGACACTAAGGAGTTTGATCATCTTATTAATGTACAGGTAAACTACACTCCTTCACTGAACTGGACAGAGTGCACACTATTAGAAAACCAATGCTAGGCAATTTTAATAGCTCTTAAAATATGTCAAAGTATAAAGACCAAGGTTAGGTTCTGATGACAACATTTAGCTATTTGCAAGATTAAATTCAGGCATTTTTCTAATCTTCACTAAGTTACTATTGCAAACAAGGCAAAACTTGTCTTATACTGCTTAATTTGGGCATTTTCCTGTCTAAAATTAACTTAAAAGACAGTATTTTTAGCTTAAGGCAATGGAAGTCCTTATTTCTTGTGTTACAGGACATCTCAAGAACTGTTACTCCTGGAGCTCCGTAAAAATAAGAGCTTTCACCTTTTTTTTTTTCCCCCCCCAGTTGTAACATGTCAGTTCATGGCAGATCCTTGTCAACAATTTATGTCCAAGCAAGAGACAACAAATGGAGTGACTAACAGGGAATTGGTACCTTCCCTTCTTTAGGGAATGTTTTCTTCTTCTTCTCTCCTATTCCCAAGAACTTCAGAGCAATTGACCTCTTCCCATACACTTCTGTTCAAGTAGGAGGGAGACAGGGAGCACTTACTTGTGTCCATTTCTGTCCTTTCTCTAGAACCATGAAGTGTGTGTTATCACCCAGGGATTGAAAGAACTCTTCTGTGTCCACAACTGTGCCATCTTCTTCCAAAACCAGAGTAATAGTGCTAGCAGCTATAAGGAAGGCTTCCAAAGTCTGCAAAAAACAGCAGATGATAGAATTCAAATGGCAGTTCCATCAATAGGATTTTTTCCTACCCTTTAATACTTAATGCTTATCTGTTGCATTCTCCTGAACTTCCCCTCTAGTGACATTCAGAAGAACACAATTTTGTGGGTTGCCTTCCTGGGATACTGTACTTCAGTATAAATTTCAGCCAGAGTGGGAATGTTTGCTGTACCTTGCTGATGAGTTCTTGCAGGCTGCTTGCAACAATTCCTTTCCGGCTGCTTCTGGAGGCATTTGATACACGGAAAGGTCTCCCTGCAGGCATGAGGGGAGGGAACAGGGTCTGTTTTGTTGCTGCTCCCACAGACGCTCCCACAGATACCAAAGATCTAAGATAAATAAAAATTCAGGGTAGTTATAAAAATACGTCAAGTACTGTGAGAAGGACGACTGCTGAGTTCAGTACATAAGCACATTAAACAAGTAATTCAGAGGTCACGGCACACTTGCAGAGCTTGCTCTCAAAAGCAAATACTACATAACCCTATAGGAAGCTGTCTCTGAATCCTCTCTTGCCAGTGACATTGGAAAACCCTTCTCCAATGAAAACCATCTCAAGCAGATGTGGGCCAAGTTGCTGCTCAGTTCAGCTGACGCCAAGGTTGCAGCGAGGTCAAGAGGTTTTAACACTATAGTGAATTAGAAAGGCAGTGGCTCTTACTGAATTCAGCCATAGACATCACTCTACTTACCTTCAAGACAAACACTCGGAGGGTACACGAGACTAATTTTGACTGTGCATTAAGATGAGAGTTTCCTTTATGAAGACTGAACATATTAGCCATATTCAAAACACAGAGCTGGAATTCAAGTGGAACTTTCTGATAGCTACACTTGATTTGCAAATTGCAAAAGTGTTTATAAATACCCACAGAACTTCATTTAGCTTTGAAAATATCATAATAAGGCTTATTCACGCCCTAACATATCAAAGGAAGTCAAAGGCAATGAAGATCAAAGAAACTGGGAGCCTGCTCCAGTGCTGAGAGGCTTAAAGAACTGAAACGGAATGCCAAAAACCACCACCTGGAAGACTGATTTCCAGCAGTCATGCCTTTTCCACATCTCTTACGTGGTCTTTCGACAGACTTTCAGGATACACAGAAAGTCACTTTGGTGACTAGCTAGTGAGAGCTTCACTCATTAACTTTTTCCTGCTCTCATTCTGAACCATTGTTTCACAAGTCTTTGGGATATTACTTTTCTGGATTTTGCTGTTACCTATCTTTTGGGCTGGTGAGTTTCATTCCAAAGTTTCAGTGACGTGTACACTAAGGTGTTTCTTTTCCTAAAAAACTAATAAGCATTACTGGAGCTCTCATTTATTTTTAAAGGAGGGTGATGTTCAAGTGTTATTTCGAGCTGAACCTAATAGCTTCTAGGTAGTACTGTCTGAGCTCTGTCTCCTCTGGCTTTCACCAAATATACACATGGCATAACAGAGGGGGTATGTGTGAACACTCAGTGAATGTTGTAGAAACCAGATTAAAATGCTAAGTGTTTCCCTCCTGGAGGAGGACAAGATGACAACATAGCATTGATGACAGCATTAACTACCTCTCCACAGAAGAAAAATGTGCTAGTACAGGGTGTGTGTTAATCTCTACGCTTGACTCCATGAGCAGTTCCCCAATCACCCTGTCAGGCTGCAAGCAGTTCCCAACCTGAATCACTCTAATCTACTCCTTGAGTATGAAGGGCATCCATCTACCTCCGCATCGCTGGGCACCTACATGCTGGAAGTGCAATACTCAAGATTCAAGACACAGCACTTTCAGAGCTACCACAGCCCATCCCCTCTCCACACATATGAAAACTCTTGCGTAAATAGTCACTTGAGTAATATATATAGCAATAGTACCAAGTTGTGGTTTTTTTTGCGAATATCAGTCCTGTTCTCTCTCATTACTTAAGCCTTGTTATTATTTGTAGAAGACAAAGCAAGTCAAATCACATATCCTGATGCAGAAGCAATAGCACTGGGGACACAACTTGAGGACTTGAGATCTTTCGGGAGCAAGGGTTCATCTCAGGCACCAGCAAAGCCAAATACATGCCATGCTTGTAGCTCTGAAGAGCCTTCCTCTGGGCTAAAGAACCACACATGACCTCACACTGCTGTCTAATTCCACCAGAGGAAAGAAGGAAAGAAAAAAAAAAAAAAAAAAAAAAAAAAAGGCTTGTAAATCAGGACTTATTTTTAGCTCCAGATTGCCACCTCACAGCAATCCAGGACTCGGGTAGCTCTTTGAGGCTGATGCTGTTTCACCCATGTGCTCCAGCACTATCCAGTTGGCCCTAGCTCAAGAGGGACCTGCAGATGCTGCCCCAAGCACTCAGTGCAGCACCAGGGCTGATGAGACAGATTAATTTGCTTTTTTGTTTTTTCTTGGAGGCAAAGCCAGGGATTAAAGCCTGCCCTGAGCCCTGGACACTAATTTCACTTGTTATCTCTACTTGCAATATATCTCATATGTTTGTCTAAGAACATGGTGCAATGGTCTTTGGGAACGTTGCACAACATGCAGGGCTTCAGAATACGGCGCAGTATGATTTGTAGGTTAGAGTTCACAGACAAATGACGGTGACAACAACAACAAAGCCAAGAAAAAAAAAAAAAAAGCCAGAAATCAGAGAGGAGACTTTGACTTCTGTCAGATCACAGACGGTTCCTCTGCTAAAACCTAAGATCCCAGAAGAGGGTCTATTCCCAGGGGCGCTCGTGAGGCACACCGCCGGACCTCCCCCCACGCAGCGCACGTGAAATGCGAACACAGACACGGCACCGCCGCCGTGCTGTCAGCCGGTACGAGCTATAAACACACCTGCAGAGAAAGCGCCCGCACGGAACCGCGAGCCCGGCACCGACTCCCACCCCGGGCCGGCAGGACGCGGCCCCGGTCGCACACGCTCACTCACCTCAGCACCGAGCCCACGCAATCCCGCGCCACCTCCATGGCCAACCCCGACCGTGCCGCGAGGCAGCGCCCGCCGCCACACTTAAGCGGGAGCGGAGCTGCTCCGCCCCTCCGCCCGGCCCAGGGGCGGCCCCGGCAGGGACGGGAGCGCGGGCCGCGCTGAGTCCCGCTGGTTTGGCAGCCGTATTGTTGGTCCGGCGTACCGGTAGGTGCGAGGCAAAGTGCCGGAGATGGAAGGTGTTTTTTGTTAAGGCTTACTTAAAAAAAGATTGGGAGCGATTTCTTGTTTCGTGTACAACTGATTGGCAGCTAATAGAGCAACAGCAGGAGCCAATCTCATTTGAAGCCTTTAAGCATTAGAGTAAATCAACAGATTAAACTGCTTCAGCTTCTGATTTTAGAGCCTGGGAATAAGCTTACAGCTTGGATTAATGTGTGTAGTGGCTTCAGAGGAGGCATTTAGCCTTCCTGGGGCCAAGGAGCAGCAACTTGTGGTTACAGAGCAGGTTCAAGTGCAGTATTTCCTTTTTACATTGGCCTCTGGGCCAACATAAGGTATTTCTCCGCTCAAAACCACACAGATAAAACAGCATGGGAGCCCCAGGGCTGGCGCTGTGCGATGCACTGATGCAGGGCTAGCAGCTCCCTGTTACTGCCCATCAGAGGTGACAACCCAGAGGTCTCCAGCTCCTAGGTTACAGCTGGCTCACCCAGCGGCCAGGATCACTCTCTGGCCCAGCCTGGGCAGCACAGAAGAACCACTCACCATATTTCCTCACTTTCTGGTCTTCTTTCAGCACTCAGCCAGACCTGGCTGGATGTCCTCAAACCTCAGCATTGGAACCCTTATCAGCTCTAAAACAAACCTGTTAACCTAGGGCAAATAATCCGCTTTGCTTGTTTTAGTTGTTTTTTTGAAGCTTGTCTTTCCAACTCAGAAGGAGTAAACTTCCCCCTGCCCCAGTAACAAAGCTCAGACCAACAACCTTCCCACTATGAACTGAGCTCAGGCTTTTATTTCTTCCTATTCAGGCCACTTAGGGCTTACAGGTGTGAGGGTATCCTTCTCCATGTTAACCCCTTCTTTTCCTGTGCTCTAATACATGTTGCTCAGATTAGATACTAGGAGGAAATTCTCTACTCAGAGGGCAGTGAAGCATTGGCACAGCTGCCCAGAAAAGCTGTGGTGCCCCATCCCTGGAGGTGCTCAAGGCCAGGTGGGATGAGGCCCTGGACAGCTGAGCTGGTGATCCTTGGCACAACCAAAATTTTTTGTGCAGAGTGGGGCATTTATGAGGTGGTTTTTTTTTTTTTTTTTTTTTTTTTTTTTTTTCTTCTCCCAATACCCCTAAACAAGCAGCAATAAAACCATCAAATGGGAAAAATCATTGTCATGGGAGCTGGGCTCCTCGGCACTGAGATATCTTGGAGCACCAGCAAGGACATCATCATACAGATAAGATCCAAAGCATGTGCAATGCTAATTATATAGCGAAAATGTTTCTGATGAATGTTGTCTATAAACAACTGCAGCAGGTACTGTAGATTTTCCTCACTGTCTCTCCTAGATAGGCAGTGGAAGGATTTACTCCATATGGAGTACCTCCAGTGGGGCAGGTTCTGAGTCCATGATTTGATTTGCCTCATTGGAGAAAAATCTCCGTATGCGATGCTATGGTTTCTGGTGCGCTATAAAGAGGGCTTCTACTGCATTGTTACCAGTGCTTCCAGAGGGCTGGATGTATTTACTTTTTTAATTAAGCACAGGAGTTTTACAAAGAAACACAGTTGTGTTTTTAAACTGCAGTATGTTGGACACGACTGTGGTACAGAAAATGGAGGAAATAATTACCTTATCTAAAAGAAATCTTTTGGATTTATTTCTGGCTAGTGAAAAGAATTAAACTGAGAATGTGGCAGTACAACTGAGATCGTGAAATGACAGGGGAACAGCAGTACAGAGGAAATGCCCTTCAACAAAACAGACATAAGAAGTCTCTCAGGACTGTGGAACAAGACCATGTGGGATAAGCCTGAGGTTGAAGAAACTGTCATTTTCTTAAGGAAACATTATTGGTGGGATCAATATATTATGATGGAGGAAAAGATGATGGAGAAGAAATGAAAGAGGTTAAGCTGGTCAAATAGTGAACTGAAACTTAATGAGGAATCAAGTAGAAAGAAGAAACCAGTCTTGCTAAGGAAGAGTAACAAACGGTAGCAGGAGCTTTGGCTCAGGTACATAAAAAAATGAAATATTGTTAAAAACAGACTTGGTGAGATAACATTCAGTATAGGAACATCAACTGTAAGGAAAGCCAAGACAGAATCGTCCCGCTGTTTCAGTGGGAGAGAAAACCAACTAATCATAAGCTGAGGTAAGGAGACCAAAATACTCAGCAAGGTTGTACTCTAGCCTTCACTGTAAACATTAATCATGCAGGGGACAAAGTACACAGATGGTATGAAGGGAGTGAACACTGGAGGTGGAGTTCAGTAAGTAATTGTGCTGATCGATCCCACTGACTGCATTTCTGCCCGGCTGCCCCTTGGCTGGGTGCAGCAGCTGACGCCATACGTCTCATTTGTGCGCCGTGGTTCAAGTTGAACAAGTTTGCTTGACCCACTTCTCACAGTAATCGTATCATTATGAAAAAAAGTCTGAATGTGCCATGTTTTACCAACAGCAAGTTCATGGAATCATAGAATGCTTAGAGTTGGAAAGGAACCTAAAAGGCCATCTAGTCCAACTGCCCTGCAGTGAACAGGGACGCCTACAGCTCTGTCAGGTTGCTCAGAGCCCCTCCAGCCTAACCTTGCGTGTCTCCAGGTTTGGAGCATCCACCACCTCTCTGGGCATGTAATATCAGAAAACATGTAATATCAGAGAACATGTAATATCAGAGCAGGTTTTCAGGAAAATTGCTGACAAATCACAACAGACACAGAGTAAAGCAGATTGCAGATCCAGAAAACGTGGTGTGTGGGCTGTGTAGAAATAGGAGGAGTGGGTGGAGAGGTGAATCACGGGCTTTGGTCATGTCAGAGAGTGCTGCAAAGCATCATGTGTATTGCTGATTAACCCGTAGGAATGGAGAATAAAACTATACATTAGGAAACATTTTGACTGGGGGACTGATAGGTGTGAGGATCAGTTTCCTGCTGAAAGCGTGCAGTCGGTCACACACAAGCATTGCTTTGGGCAGCGTTCAGGTGACACAAGGGACAAATCAGGAACCCAAGGATCAATTTGGACATTTCTTCTATTTCCTCAAGGCTCTGATAAATTATGTGAGTGAGATCAAGGCAGAATAAGAAGTTTCTGTATCCGACCAACCTTAGTCTGAGAGGGGAGTGCAAGAAGTAAACAGTGTGTTTACAGCAGTGTTAGGAACAAAGATAGCAGATTACAAGGGTCAGCTTACATTTGCAAAAGCCGACCTTTTGTGCAGCCTTTCTGCCCTTTCCTGTTTTTGCTAAGCAATCCTTTGGTCTGATTTCTGCAAGAAGCACTCCTGAGACTCTCCTTAAGTAAACTCAATTCTTTCTTATTGCTTTCATGCAGACCCAGCATTCTATTCTCCACTTTGCACACAAAACATCTGTATTAATTTCTAGACTGCTCTTACTATTCAGTGGATTCCTGCCTGTGTTGCCTCTGGCTTTGGTTTATTTCTGCCAGGCCACATGCATGATATAGACAGAGTTATATGATAAAGACATTGCTCATTCTCAGTATGCTTTGAGATAAGACTGTGCAGTAGATGCTCTCATGATGTTACTTTTTACCATTTTCTGTAGTTTTCAAATCTCTGTTGATAAAGCCTTAACACGTAATGCCCAACACATCCGCAGGAGTCACGGGGTTTTTATTAGCTGTACAGGAGGGAGTGAGGCTCCTCCTGACGGTCATTTTGCTGCTCTGCAACACTATGCAGAAAAAGATGGAGGATTATTATTTTTTTTTTTTGCACCAAATAAAATCCTGTCTAATTGCCTGGAAACGGTTCTGTGGTCTGCAAAGATTCCGATTCTGAAAGCCTCTTTTGAACAACAGCCTAACCCTTTGCTTCACTGAACCACGTGGCCCAGAAAAAAAAAAAGCCCTTTGTTGTGAGATTTCTTGGGTGGGTATTTTGCTTTGTTTTTTCTTTGAAGTTGTCGATAATTTTAACAATAGCATCAAGATGGTGTTGATGGATGGGCACATGCACTGTACATGGGGAAAAAGACCCTACCAAGAATATTTCAGAGGTGTGACGTTTGTCAAACACGTGCTTATATGTGGGTGTTTGATAGTTAGACAGGGTGTTAAGATTGGAAGGTGGGGCTTTGTCCTGACTGCCCCCCTTGGCAGTGCTGTGGATGTGAACGAATTGCAGATATCTGTGGGCAGCATTTGGCTGAAAGCTGACTCATGGGGAGCTGTATGATGACGGTGCTAACAAAAAGCAAAAATTTTGCCTGTGAGATTTATTACTGGAGATAATGTACTGACTATTAATATTTATTTATTGTTGGATTGCAAGGATATTCTGAAATGCTTTATTTTACATTTCAAAAGTTGCAACTTCCAGAAGATATAAGCTCTAAATAAGACTGAATAGCTAATAGAAATGCTTCTGTTTCTAACATCTCTACAGTTTAGTGATACTCCCTCTAGGAAGAAAAGTGAACCTCATTCAGACAGAAACATGACTTTTCATTTCATAAGCTTTAAATTTTACTTTACAAAATGAGAGGCGATCAAGCATGGAAATGTCCCATGGTGTACAGCTGTGTTATGATTTTTATGGCAGACCTTGAAGAAGTTCAAGACTCCAGGAAACACTTCAGAGCTATTAATCCTCCAAACTCAACTGTGAGCTCAAGGTTTCCTGGTAGCTGCACTAATTAATTTTAAAAAAAAGATATTTTAAAATATCTTATTGGGAAAGGAATGTCTGTATTTTACATCTTATAGTACATGTTTTAAAAGTTAGATTAAAAAAATATATATTTTTGTCTTCTCTTTTTGTAAAAAAAAATGTTAAGATCAAGGCAGTAGTAGCCAGACAGCTTAATGGGTGATCTTCCTAAGGGTCCCACTGCT